CCGAGGCTGGGCGCCCTTGGACTGGCGGGGCTCCCGGCGCGGGAGGGCGCTCCCCACGCCCCGGAGCCCGGGCTCTCCCGCTCCGCCCCGCCCCGGGCGGCTCCTGTGGGCGAGCACCCGGGACGCCAAGAGCGGCCCTCGGAGTTCGCGCCTCCTGCAACCCGGAGAGATGGTGGAGAGATGAAAGCTTAGGAGCGTAGCCAGCGAGAAAGTTTTAAAAAAAAGAAAAAGGAAAAAGAAAGTGTGTGTGTGGTGGTGGTGGTGGTTGGGGTGGGGGTAGTGCAGTGCAAGTGCAGCGGCGGGAATCTTGAACTGCAAACGCGGATTGGTCAGCCGCGGGGGAGCCGACGGGCTGCAGGCGCGGGGAAGGCGGGCTCGGCTGGCGGTGAGAGATGGAGGGCACCGCGCGGGCGCAGGGGATGGCCACAGGCGAGCGGCCGGAGCGGGTACGCCTCGGCAGCCCCCGCGGTTTCCATGCCGCCCCACCAGCCGGAGCCGCGGGTGGGCGGAGAGCTGCGGACTGCTGAACGGGCTGCCGCCGGAGTCAGGTACAGACTACCGGCTGGAGCAACGTCAGGGAATCCTGCTGCCTAGGTCCTCCGTGGACTTCGCCGGAAGAACAGGTCTCGGGTAGCCAAACCGACCTCCGCTTGGTTTGCCCCGGTGCTGGGGCAGGGTAGTAGTCGGAAGCACAGGTAGAGAGACTGGAAGCATGGAGAGAGACACCACTTTCCCATCAGGATCTCCCCCAGCCTCGGGAACAGAATCTGTTGCCTTCTGTAGGAATCTTCTCACCCTGGGGTTTGTAGATGAGCGTTTTCTGGAGCGCGGGCAAGGCGAAAGCGGCGTGCACACACTTTGAGCACAATTTCTAGAGCTCCATTCTGCTGTTAAATACTTCGCTTTGCTACTTCCGAATCGCCCTGTCCGTGCATACCTTCAGCCTGTATTCTTTAAGTTAAAAACTATTTTTTTTATTAGACGACTTAAATAAAAAACTTGAGAACTGTTTCAAGCTACCTTTCGAAGAATAAAAATATACGTAAACATTTTTCTTAGCTGACAATTCCAAGCTGAATGAACTCTTGTGTTCCCGATGAATGCCAAAAGCAGAAGCATAGTTTTGATTCCCCTCCCCTGACACTGAATACTTTTTGACTGCACTTCTGACAGGGTATGTTGAAGTACACCCGCCATTCCTTTACGTGTTAGGCAACAAATATTTACAAGCAATGAGCAGAGACCTTAGGTGTCTGTTTTTCTGAATGAATTAAGCTGCAGGATTTTTAAAACTTTAAAGGCACGAAGATGTTAGGACCTTTAATACCTTCCAAGCTTGGGGGGTGGGGCGTGGGGGATTTCGTTTTAACTTCTGCCTAGGAATTATTTTATTATTCTTTTGGCATAAAGACAGCTGTTAAGAATAAACTCCTATAAAGAAAAATGTGTTTAATAGTTGATAGTTGAAAGAGCTTAACCTGGGATCACATATTTTCACTTTTCCTACTGCAGACTCTAAACCTCACTTTCAAGAAAGCAGCCTTGGACAGGAATCAACAGGTAGCAAGACCCTCTTACCTTGAGGGCATGAACCTTCAGGCAGAATTCATTCATATGTTCATAAAGTGCAGGGTAGAGGCCTAAGAAAAATTTAATGAATATAACTCATTTTCAGTGACTTTAAAGCCTCAAGTTCTGTGAATGAAACCTCTCCCAACTAAGACAGCTTTCTTGGTACCAGGAAAAATTAAATTCTATCTTAATGTAAATTCTTTTTATGAGTATTTGCCTGTGTGTATGTATGTACACCACTTGTGTGCAGTGCTCATGGGGGCCAGAAGAGGGAGTCAGATCCTCTGGAACTGGAGTTACAGATGGTTGTGAGCAGCCATGTGGTGCTAAGAAACAAACCCTCTACAAAAGCAGCACGTGCTCTTAACTACAGAGCCCCCTTCAGTCCCTTAAATTCTGAAAGACCTTTTAAAACCGTATTTTTTTGTAGTTGTGCATTTATCAATTTCTTTTCTTTATGATTGTTCTCAAAGTGGCAGAAGCCGTTAACCATCCAACTGTTACTAGGTTTCTCTCATTTCCTAGTTTTTTTAGTTGCTTTGTTTATCTTCATTCCTTTATGAAAAATGAAACAGCTGGGCTGGAGAGATGGCTCAGCAGTTAAGAACACTGGTTGTTCTTGCCGAAGACCTGGGTTCGAATCCCAGCACCCACATGGCAGCTGACAACTGTCAGTAACTCCAGTCCCAGGGGATCTGACAGCGTCTTCTGACCTCCACCAGCATTGCACGATAGGGGTATACTTACCTACATGCAAGCAATAACATGCATACACATAAAAATAAAATTTTAAAAACAGCTAAAGACTTAATAAATTACATCAATTTCTATTTTTAATGGTAAGGATAAACTAGAAATGCTTATTAGTTTCTTTTACTTGAGGTAGGGCTGCCTCATCACATTCCCAAGGGGGCCTGTATATACCTGATTCTCAGCTTCAGAAACAGATCATCACTAAGTTAGAAGGGTAGGAAGAACCTCTAGGACCTCAGAAATGTTAAACTGTGAGGTCATTTAACACCTGTTCCCAGGGGAGGGCAGAGGCAGCACAAAAAAGGCTATTCCTCTCTGTGAACAGCATCCCATCAGCTGACATTAAAAAAATGTAACATTTGGAACCGGACTTGTTTGATGTCATTGCAGCAAGTTTTTCAAGATAATCATGGCAAGTCTTAATGATCTTTAAAAGAAATAAAAACCTTCCTAAACAAGGACATTAAAGCCATTGTTGGGATCAGTTTATTCTTGTGTCAAGACTGCAAAAAGTTCTGTGGCATGTGTTAAAGCTGCAATATCAAATCTCATGTACTTTTACTTAAAAACTAAAGAGTTAACATAAAGAAGGCTTCCATATGTTAGGAATAGAGCATATTGGGAAAATGTTTATATACTATTTCCAGAATTGGCACATTGTGAGCTCTCTCCATAACAAACTTAGTAAACAGTTGTATAGCTAAAATACACAGATGAAGTAATACTGTATTGTCATTAAAATTCACATTCTGGGGATTGGAGGGATGGTTTAGTGGTTAAGAGCACTGACACTTCTTGCAGAAGGCCCAGGTTTGATTCCCAGCACCCACATGACTGCTATCAACCATCCGTGCCTGCTATCAACCGTCTGTTAACTCCAGTTCCAGGGAATCCAACACCCTCTTCTGACCTCTGTGGGCACTGCACAACATGGATGCACTTATATACATGCAGGTATAACATATATAAAATAAATAAACCACAAAGATTTTTTAAAAATCCCACATTCTGGATAAGTTTTACATGTCTGTGACTAAGTATAATGGGGCAGGAAGAAAGTAGTGATCCCACAAAGAATGTAGTATTCAAATATTTTATCCTTTAAATTCAGGCATAATTGCAGAAAACCGAGTTTCCTTTTATTAATCTTAACTTTAAAATGTTTAGTCTCACCAAACTATTTCTAACCTGCTATTACCAAGAAATTAAATTTCTTTTTTGTCGTGCTCCACTGTGAATATTAAATGTTTACACCCTTGGAATTTTTTGAGGGGGGTTCTTTTTGAGGCAGGGTCTCCCTGTAGTCCTGGCTGGCCTGAAACTTGCTATGTAGACCAGGCTGGCCTAGAACTCAGAGAAATCCACTTGCCTCTGCCTCATGAATGCTGGGATTAAAGGTGTGTGCCACTATGTCTGGCTATATCCTTAGAACTTAAAATTTAAGACAAATTTCCTTTGTGGTCATTTTTTTCCTAGCTATAAACTTTGCTTTCTTGAGCATATAATTATTACTGAGAACAGTACTATTTCTACTTAGAATATATTCCTTCAAAATTAGCCAAGAAGTGCCACAAGGCTTTGCATTTTGTTGAAATAGATTTCATATTTTATTATTTATATGTGAGTATATTGCCTGCATGTGTGTAAGTGCACCTGTGTCCTGCAGTGTCTATGGAGGTCAGAAGAGGGTGCTGGATTCCCCCTGGAGTCAGTGCTATTAACCATTGAGCTACCTCGCCAGTCCCGAAATAGTAAAATTTTAAGTAACATTTAGGTATTTTTTTTTAACTTCAAATTTATGTTTGTACACAGCCTCATGTTTGCATAGAGCCAAAATGTTGAAAGCAGAAAATTTGATCATTTTGTATTAGTAACTTCTCAGTAATACTGGCAGTGCTGGAGTTCCTAAATTCCCACCATTAGTCTTTCATGTTC